ATTATAGTTGCTTCAGTCCATCAGCTGTTGCATTTAACTATATATTTGTAGGTTAAAGAAATAAATACCCTCAGGTAAGCACATCTTATCTAAATCTGCTTAGAGAAGTACCTAACCCCAGGTACTGGTGCAAAATGAGTCAGTTTTAACCCCGAGGGTTTCACTGGGAGTGCATGCAGCAAACCAGTAGGCTGACAGCCAAAGCTGCCCCGGCAGGTGACCTCAAAAACATGAGTATTAACTTTTTTTTTCTTGAGTGACAAATAAAATCACAGTAGACACTGAGGTATGTTGCAGATGTTTATTCAAAAATAAAACTGCCACTGTCTTACTGTAGAAGCCAGAAACAGAACCAAACAGTCAAATCAAACTTCAGCGCTGTTCATACGTACTTTAAAATCAAAAAGTCACAGGAACAAATAATATCAACACGAGGGGGTGAAAAAAATCTTTTCAGCACATTGGGAAGCTGATCGGTTCATAAAAAGGGCAGTGCATCACAGACACAACAAGCAGTAGGAATGTGACGTCACATATTTAAAGGCATGCAGGCCAGGAATTTCTGTTTATGCCATTATATGAGGAAACACTACACAGCATTTAAACTCAAAATTCATGTGAAATACAAAAACTGTCTTTGCATTTCAAAGGGGGAAAATTATTTTAAGGTTCAGGAATAAAAGCAGTTTTTCAGTACTGTGTCCCCACCCTCAAGACCTGGGCTTTTCTTCAACTGCAGTTTACTGTGAACTGTCGAACCACTGCTAAAAATCAGCTGCAACTTTCTGTGTTACCTTTACGTCATAAATCCTCTGACAAGAGAGACGACCTAAAGCAGCAGCAGAACATTTAAAACAATCAGATTTCTGCCTGCTGCTCTGACTACAGCTTTAACAATCTGAGCCTGCACAGAAGCTGCAGCCCTGGAGAGAAAATTCCAACTTCAATGACAGAAACCAGACATAAAAATACAAAAAAAAAAAAACAGCTGCTGCAGGACTGTAAATGCAGATTGTGAGTGTGTGTGAGTGTGTGTGTCTAATAGTCTTCATCGCTCAGTCATCTGCTGGCCTAGGGCTTCGGTTTGGACTTGCTGAACGGGAACGACTGAAACAGAAACAGAGCAGAGTTAGATCGCCACAGGGGAGGCTGGAAGGATGAGCAGATTAAAAAAAATATCCCACTTTTTAATACACCTGCTGTGAAAGACTGGATGGGCGCTGATATTTGTAAACTGTCTAAAATCTCTCGTTAAAGTCCCAAGCAAACCAAACTGGATTGTCTATCTGTTGAGTGTTAAATCAAACTCACAAAACTATTTTCTGTGTCTGAGGAAATAACTACAGGGTTAAAAGGTAAATATGTACTTGAACATTGAGGAGAGACAAGCATTTCACAGTCCTTGACACTGAGTCCTGACTAAAAAATTGTTGACATAATTTCTGCTCTCAGAGAGGCGAAAGCTAAGTGTTAAACCCTTCCACTTCTATAAACACTGAAGGGGGGGGGGCAGCAGGGACTCATGGAAACTCCTCTGTAGGAGTGAATAGATTTGAAAGGTGTGTTTAATTTGATACTGATATTATAGTGGGGAAAAAAGCTTTAAATGGTAATAATGTTGTGACATGAGTAACACAAGATAAACATATCTGACAAAGCCTCCTCAGAAATATCAGCCCATTCAACTCTTTAAAACTCCATCCTCTCTCCCACTCACTTATCCATTCACTCTCGCATGCAGACAAACATCTGTACACTGCATGCTTGTAGAAGGGTCTATTTGTAAGTTTTTACTATTGATATATGGTTAGCGTTAGCATCAACAGCTTAAGTTGAGGATCAAACTTCATTCCTTTAACTCGCTGTTTCCAGTAGTGGAAGGCTACAGCAATGTAATCTCTCATTTTGATTCCTTGTACTTCATTGCTTCTATGCAAGTTGGCATGCTAACCAGCTTGCCCCTGCCCCTCCCATCTCAGCGCTGTGCCATCGGATCTGCCCTCAAACGTGAGGATGAAGAAGTTCTGCCCAGAAGATGTATTCTACTCCACCATGCGTTCCCGGTTAAAGAAAAGGTTTAAAGTGATAAAAGCAAAACAACAGATAACATTGGTGTCGCTTAACGATGCTAGAGACAATTATGAAGTTTGATGCCAAACCTGTAAGATTTCTTCTGGTAAACAGCTGTTCATGCTAACCGTGGCTCTATAGCGATAGTAAAAATTTACATAAAGCAAACTTAAAAGGCTCAACTTTAGCTTTATCATCACCAGTTTTCCCAGACATCAGACCTGTGCATTTTCTTTCATCATCAACATGAGCTTGTCAGGGGGGTTTAATTTTTGGTTACCTTTGGAGACAGTGGCAGAAACAACAAGAACACAGAAGCGAAGGACTGAAGGACGGATGACTACAACTCGTAGAGACACTGCGCTGGGAGGCTCTTGAAGACTGATCTCTCGTCAGCTCTCTCTCTCTCTCACTCACTTTCAGAAGCTAAGACAGAGGCCGAAGAACTCTGGTAGGTAGGTAGGGGGTCTGGTAGGTAGGTAATGGATTAAAAAAGGTAGTGGTCGAGGTCTGATCTGTGTGGGTCAGCCCTCTGGTACGTCTGAAGGCTGGCTGGCTGGCTGGGTGACTCAAGCAGAACAACTGTATGTGTGCGCGGGCTGATCTCGTCTGAGCGTGTGCGTCGGTTGAACAGACGGTCACCCATTCACTGTGAGGAGGGTTCGGTCTGTAGGTCGACCTCTTTCTCGCTGTCTAACACCAGATGCAGAAGAAGGCTGATCTCAGGTCAGCGCATAGTCACCCTCCCGCAGGACGTACACACCGCCAGCTGGCAGACCCTGGGCCTGGGATCAGCTGCGGTGTCAGTGCAGTGCTCAGGTCCCACCACACGCTTTAAAGAAAATATGAAAAATAAACAAAACTGTGCTGCAAAGATTCTTACCCTAATCACACATAGTGTGACTGTGTCTCAGATATTATTCTGGAGAAATCTCTTGATCTAGCCAAATTCAAGATAGGGAATTCAAATTTTAGAAAAAAGAAGAACATTTAAAAATCTGACCATCTTTATTCAACACTTGTATATTCCAAGAAATTATTTTCTCTCTTGCTGTCACTCTAGATTCTTTTCTACCGCTACAGCTGCGGTGGGTGAGATTAAGAATACAGGTTCATCTCACTTGTTCTAGCAGCTGAGTCTGACCAGCGAACAGGTTGAGTGGACACGTCTCTCATGTGCTCTTTTTAACGTCGAGTGGCACAGGTGAGGAGCCACACTGAGCTCACACGGTGCTGAAAGTTCAGGGCATTCGAGTGTTGGAAAAGAGCACAAGAGAGACGTCTAATCTTTCATCTATTTTTACTTCTGAGTGGCCCCGCTCCCTGTCCTCTGACCCTCCCACTCCATTACAGCAGCAGGAGATGCAGGTCGTCTCTGTGTCGAGGAGGTCGAGCAGTCTGGCCGAGGTCTGGGAGGTCGCCCGTCTCACCGTCGCGTGGCAGTCGTTGGGTGTCAGCACGGCGCTCCCCGGGTGGAAGGAGGATCTATTTAACAGTGACTCCCTGCCTATGATGGCGACTGAAGAACATAACTGACCCTCTCTTGGAATCAAAGTCTGTTGTGATCTGAACTAAAAATATATAATTGATCATCTGAACCTGACTGAGGCCTGAGATGTTACACACTTCTTAACGTCTTAGTAAAAACCAAGCACGAGACATTTATTAGACAGCCTACACTCTGTTTCAGTGAATCAGACATCTAGTGTGAGGGTGTACCTGTTCTTCTTGTGGTTAGCTGGTGGAGACCGTGAGCGGGATCGAGAGACAGAGCGTCTTCTTGGCGCAGAGCCAGACCGAGAGCGGGATCTCGAGCGACTGGAGGAAAAGAACAAGTTTTAATGTGACACTGAAATGCTTTAATAAACTATTTTATGTGTTTAAATATACGTTTATTAGTTTTAAAAGATTAAACAAGGTTCACAGAAAAGAAGATGCAAATCTCACTGTGTAACTGTTCCTCAAGCTGAAAGTTTTCATCTTTTGTTTCATAAATTTTGGCATCATCCTGCCCAAAGTGATCCTGAAACTAAATTCTTCTTCACAGCATTTAATATTGGTAATCTTATTTACTTTTTCTACTCCATGACTGATTGTCGTCTTCTTGGCTTTTTGTTTCTTTTTATGTCTTTGCCTTATTTTGCCAACAGCATTTTGAATATATGGACACACAGACGCAGTGACTTTTAAAACATGACTCTGCTTCTTGTGCATGATTTCTCTACGAAACTGTGTAAGAAACAGAATGTGAATTCATAGCCAAAGGTATAAATCACTAATGATTTACAGAAATATGAAACCTGGGTAAACTTCTTATTGCCTTTTGTAAAGACACAACACAGCTGCAGCAATAATGTGATGGTCAACACCATAAAGCAGGAGATTGTTATTTTGTACGACTCTGTACAACCACGTCAGCAGGACAGAAGAGACAACACAGCAAGCTCTGTAATTATGTCTTAAAAACAAATAGTTTACCTTCTCACGGGAGTCCTGGACTTGGAGCGGGCTGGAGAGCCAGACCTAATGATACAGGAAATAACGAGGGTTTAATTACAGCTGTGACTGAAACCAAGGCAACACTATAGGCATCAACGACCGACTGAACAAATGACATGTGCCACACATGTACGTTAATTGACCGCCAAGGGAAGTAATAACGATCGGTCCCATCCACCAGCAGAAAAACTGGATGAACAAACAACATGTAGCTACAGATCAACAAGCTGCTCACCTGCTCCTGCGTCTAGAGTAAGATGGAGATCTGCGGCGGCTCCTGAAAAAGGAAAAATTATTAACACTGGGCTCTCAAACAGCCGTGGTCGAACTGAATCAACATGACGAAATTCCACTGTTTACCATCATGTATAATTTAGGAATAAAACACGCGCAAGTGTGAAAGAAACATTTATACATTATTAACCATAGACTCTGAGCTGCTTTCACATTATTAATAACCAATGAGCACCAACATCTACTGTTAATATTTTATGAGGCGAAGCCGACTTTCGATCCTGACTCACCGGCTGTGGCTACGGCTGCGGGAGTTAGAGCGATAGCGACGTCCACGGGACCTGGACCTGGAGCGAGACCGAGAATGGGAGCGAGATCTGGAGAGGAAAGACAGAAAGTTTATTCACGTTTGTCCTCAAACATCCTGAATACTTTCAGTGCAAAATAACGTTGAGCTTCATGAGCCTCTGATGTGCAGTGAAGAAGCAAACATGCAAGAAAACAGTCTGAAAATGTTCACCTGCTGCGACGGCCCCTCTTGCTGAAGCGGTAACAGTCGTAGGCGTAATGACCTCGGTCCCCACACTGGTAACACCGGTCATTGGGGTCAAACTGGCGTCGACTGGGGCGCCCGCGGCCCTTCCTGGAGAGGCCTGTCGACAACTCCACACGAACCCGTGAACCACATAGGAGCCTGGGGAAAGGGTTATTCAGTAATTAATAAGAGAGCAACATTTGGAGAATTCATGCAAATTGATATTTTGATAAAACGAAAACCATCCGGCCAATTTAAGCCACCATTGTTTGCTGTACACAAGGAAGCCCAACACTGTGGCATGGAAACCCCACTGACAATTAGTTTGGTGGACCTCAATGCAGAACAAAGTACAATCACGCCACAGCGTCTATTGTTTCTCTTTGTATTAGAAAAACTTACTGGGGTGTTATAAGATCCCACTTACTTTCCATCCATGCCTTTGACAGCATCTTCTGCATCTCTGGGATCCTCAAACTCCACGAAGGCAAACCCGGGAGGGTTCCTCGCCACCCAGACACTTCTCAGTGGACCGTAATAACTGAACGCTCGCTCCAGCTCACCCTTCGCCGCACCATTGCCCAGGTCACCCACGTACACTTTACAGTCCGTGGCCCGAGACGAACTACGGGAGTGGTGCGACATCGTTCCTTACCTGTTGAGAGGAGAACATATTAACTTAAAGCTCTGGCTCAATAAAACCCCAGAGTGACAATTCTGGTCAGCAGGATGAGTGTCTCATTAATTAACACATATCTCTAAAGAGCCTTTCATTTGCACTAGTACACAAGCTTTATCACCTACACGTGTTTTATTGTTTTATTGCCTCGGCCAAGGAGGCAAATTTTTATCTGAGTATGTTTGTGAGCTAGCAGGATTACGAACAAACATCTCAACTGAATACCATGAATTATTGTGAAGGTGTGGACGACGACCAAAGCGAGACCAAAAAGATTTGAAGTCAATCCAGGAATTTTCTCCACAGTTCTTAAATAATGAGCATTTATTCAACATTAATGGATGGAGATTTCTCCAAATGAGAGTGTGATAATTTTTTAAATGTGTATTTTTACTTTCATCATATTGATCTTTTATATTAAATAAAACGTGTGGATGTAAATATATCAACATACTGAATATTGAACTGATTATATTAATGTTGAGGTCTTGAATCTCTGATCGTGGATCAGATCCTGTGTTGGTGTGTGCAGGTGCAGCTGCTCCACATGGCCCCTCAGTGTTTGAACATGGAACTGTATCGATGCTGTGGAACATGACTGGAGATGATGCACTGTCCTCGTGTTGTCAAACACACAGCTCTTCGGTTTTAAATGTGTTCATGTGTTTTTATCACGTCCGGGTCCACATGTTGTTCATGTTGTGTTTCAGGTCCGCTTCAATCCCCCAGGCACGATCGTGGAAACGTTTCTAACTCACGTTTGAATAAAATCAGCGGGATATTTTCGAAGAGATCAACTTAATTATAAAAACATCACGTGTTGAGGTGTGTGAGTAAACCAGCGGTGAAATCCAGGGATTAGTCGGAGGCCTCCCTCTCCTCCCGCTCATAAACAATGGCGGCTGCACGCGTTGGCTAACGTTACCTTTTCAGTCTCCGCTTCGTGACTCCGCTTCAGGCTCCAGTGGAACTTCTCCTCCGTGGAACACAGCCGGAGGTCGGAGTGAATCTGTGGCCGGCGGTGTGTGCAGACCTCACGTGCTGAACCGCCGCTCTGACGGACTTCTCCTCGTCTGTGCCGCCGCTCACCGGGTTAGCTTCGCGTTAGCTTCAGGTTAGCCACCAGCTCCGACCCGCGTGACTTCCGCTTCTGCGCACAGACACACTTCCGGTGACGATGGGAACCCATAGCAACCAATGATTGTTGATTTATATTGTATTTATTTTTATTCATTCATTCATTTTAATAACTCGTAACTGTGGCTGCGTCTCTGTGTTTGATGTAATTAATCAAATAAAAGAAAACTCAAACACAGAAATACATTAACACACATTTCTGTTTAACTGATTAACATATTGATTATCTGCATTCACAATATTCAGATACAAAATAAAATAAAAATAGTTTTAATAGTTTAACTGTGTTGCTCAATGTCTTTTTTCTCATAAGACAAACTACTTATCATTTATTTTGTAAATCAAGTTGGTTCAGCTCAAAAACTAAAGTTCCACTGCTGATTTAAAAATGCATAAACAAAACAAAATGTAAGAATCCAACCTTTTCCAAAGTGCAACCATACCGGTGTAAAATTAGAAGTGAAAGTAGTCATTATGTGGAATTGCCCAATAATATATAATGTATTATAATTCTTGATGCAACAGTGTGTTCACCACACATGTGTTTATAAACTACTGGGAAACTTGTGAATTTCTCCCGGTGGCTGATAAGACCTTAACTTAATTTGACTTATATCAATAAATCATTTATTTATTTTCCTCTTTATTATCTTTATTCATATCAGGATTGTTTGTGGCCATAGTGACATTAACAGTAAACTCGTCCTAGAGCTATTGATTATTTTCAATTCATTGTTCAGTTTATTTAATGTAAGAAGTTCCCAAAGTGATGCCTTCAAACAGCTCAAGTAGACAAATAAAATGTCATTGAAATATAAATAACCCAAAAATGTTCAGTGACGCACTGTAGATAGAGGAAAAGCAACAAAGCCTCACATTTGAGAATCTGAAATAGAATCATTTATAGTTCTGCTTGATAAATAACCATAGACTGTGTGTAAATAACATATATACATTACTGAAACAGTTGGGAGTTTAAAATCTTTTAATTGATTAAAGGAAGGATGTGATCTGCGTCAGGAACTCATTACATTTTGGTGTGATTCTGGATCAAGGGGCAGATGTCGGAGTTTTCTTCACCTTCTTCAACTTTGTGAGTCCGGGCATGTTTCAAATCTTCTCTATTTTCCCACTGATGTGGATGAGTGTGTGTAATCTGATTGAATTTAAGACGACTGTTGGGCCTTGTCGGAGGTATGAGCTCCACTGAGAGAAATCTGTGTGTTTTTTAACATCTCTCAAGGAAAACCAACAACCCAGTGAAAAAGGAATGTCCTGATAATGTGTTTCCCTTTTACCAACTCCAGTGTTATATTCATTTTATTACTGAAGCTTTAAATTGTTTTATTTTTCCCTGAAAAGAGTCACTGCTGTCAGCGCTGAGTCGTTTTCAACAGAACTTTAGAGAAACTTCCACCATGTCAGATACCAGTGTGTGTTTTTGACAGTTGCTCGCTCAGTGCAGAAATAAAGACTCAGACACGTCGACTCCTTGAAAATAAATAAACTATATTCAAATAAGGTCTTCATTTTCTTCCAGTAACACGTTACACCTCATGCCATGTTCTCAAAAACAAGTTGTCAATTTTTTTCTGCATTTCATAAAAAACTTTTTTTTATATCATCTTCAGTTAATAATTTATTACAACATTGAATAAATGTTTATGTCTAATCACGTGATATTGTAGTAACTCAGTCGTTATTTCCCTACAAAGGTTCAGGCAGAGAGAAATTTTCATTATCACAGGAAAAAACTTCACAGAGACACATTGAAGAGCAAGACCTGGAGGAGGGGACAGACATCAGGGAGGGGGGGGACACAGCCACTAACACGGACACAGAAATATCATACGATTAACAAACGAAAAACAAATGACCTGGGATGTTGCGTGTTGCAGACGTAGAGGACTCTTTTCACAGCTTCGGAGGGAAACAAAACAAACTTGACACTGAATCTAAAAATGCTGTCTGGTGTGTGTGTGTGTGTGTGTTCATTGTATCTGTGCGGAGTTGTGTCTGCGTGTGCACACCTGCTCATTTTATTTCACAAAGCTCCTCCTGTGTTTGGGACTGTGGGGAATCAACCTGATAAAATATGCCTATAGGTGTCCATCACAGTAGACCATGCTGCTAACACACACACATACATCATGCATACACAGAGGGAGGGGGCAAACACTGAGGCACACCGGGGTGGGAGGGGTGAGGAGGGGGAGAGTCTGGATCGGGGAGGGGGGGGGGCATCACATCTAGCTACAGAACAGCAAAGGCCGAAGCCGGACACGTTAGTACAGAAGTTCATGGAAACAAGGAACATTGTCTGGATGTTGTAGACAGTTCTGTTTCTGGGTGCTGAGCCACATCTGGGTCACATCTGCCGGGATGAAGCTGATCCCGTCCGTACACACTGGTCTCCTCAGTCACAGATCACACATGAGTTCACACCTGTTCACCTGTGTGTGTGTGTGTGTCAGTGTGTGTGTGTGTGTCAGTGTGTGTTCAGTTACAGCTTCTGTTCCCACCTCACACACGTCTGACCTGCTTCACAACCTCCTTCAAATGTCCCTGTTCCGCTCACGTCAACCCGAGACTGACAATCACGCTGGCAATGTTCCACGCTGTTTCTTCATGTAAACATGCTACTTACACTTACACCTCCTCCTGCAGGAGGACTGCGGGACCAAATGTACGTTGGCAGAGGGAAACAACGAAACACAGAAAAAACTAACGTGGGAACTGACCTCTCATCAAAGCCACAAACAAAGAAGAGACAATTTTTTTGCCTGTATTGCAAGTTGAAACCAAACGTCTTGAACTAAACTCCAAACTGTTGGCGTCAAGGACCATAGATAAATAATCTTCAGGTAAATAAATAAATATCTAAATAGTCTCGTGAGACGAAATATACATAAGTAACAGAGACACAAACGAGTCAGCAGACAAACTATCTGAGTACATGAGATGAGATAACGTTTGATGACACGCGACATGTTTGAGCAGTTTCAAAGGGGAGTTTCCTCTGTGGAAAATATATCAAAATCCAATCCACTAACGATGTAATCAACACAACCAACCGGACACGTTGATTCTACTCGAAACGTCGTTCAGAAGTACAAAAAAGTCTAACTTGGCTACATCTGTACGGAAAAGATACAAAACTGGTTTTAGAAAGTTCTACAAAGTGTAGTCAGGGTAAATGAATCTAATCCTTCCGATAGATTTATGTAGAATAACAGTTTCAGCTTGTATAGCACTTATCATTTGTGGGTGAGATGTTTTGAAATGCACCTGCAGCACAAACGACGTGATCAAATCTCATGCACCGAAGGATCCTGGACACTCGATGCTTCCTGTCTGAGCCGATAATCAATATTTTAATTTTCCGCTCGCAGCTTTAGTTCATGCTCTGACTTTCCAGCATTGAAACTAATGAACCTGGAGTGTCAGTGTGTAAATGTCACAGCAGATTAGAAGTTCAATGTTTTTCTCTGTTTGACTGTTTGTTCCCGACTGTGTCACTGAAGGAAGGCCGGTGTTCTAACGTCAACAAACTCCACATCCACAATAATACGTTTTTGTTTTTTAATTAAAATGATTTCCGTCCGCCCGCACTCAATTAGCTCTGTATAAGTAACGCACCTGGAGGAGCAGGTCACATGACACTGGTCATGTGGTGTAAACAGGAAGCAGATTGTCTCTGCAGGTGGTGACAGAAAATACTACGAACGAGGAATGAGGATGGTGAAAAGTGAGAGCTGGGATTTTCTTTTCTTTTCTTGTGACCCCGTCATCGTTTCCAAACTTCTCAGGTTCTAGTGGTCGAGTGGTCGAGTGGTGCGGGCGGCAGCTGTAACCGTGGCAATAGTGATGTGTTTTAAAACTAAAACATAATAGTGTGGATGCAGCTTTAAACCTGCAGTGTTCAGACCTGCAGGTTATAAACAAAGTGGAGAACGTTAGATCACAGTTAATCTTCTTCAGAATGTAAAGTCTTGTATCTTAACATACATGGTCATAATGTGAGGGGGGGGGGACAGTTTGTACAGCTGAAAGCTTCAATACTAGATTTTCACTGGAGATTTTCCTTAAGGCTCTGACTGGGCGCTGCACTGAAGCACGAGTGTAAATCAACATCCTGCGTCCTGACTGAAGTCTGGATCAGGATCCTGTGTCCTGATCGATATGTTGTGTTGTCAATCTGGATGATTTGGGATCTAATCAGTTATTAAGTGGCTTAAATGTGATTTAGTGTCTTTTCTTCAACGTAAACTAACACTGTTAAATCTTGTTCGACCGTCCATGCACGTTTGTCTGACATGCAGCTAACGATGGAGGATTAGTCTGTCAGGGTACATGCCACATTAATGGATTAGTTTGTCATGACCACACGACACCGTGACGACGCAGCAAGAAACCTCAAAGTTTGCAGCTACAGTGTTCGTCCTGTCCTTCCTGTCAGCCGACACACACACACACACACACACACACACACACACACACACACACACACACACACGCACTTGTACACACGAGACGCTCTGAGAGTTTCTGTTTTAACTGAGCGAACACACACACACAAATGAATGGATGTAATTTACAGGTGGACTCTATTCATTCCCTTTTAAATAGTTTATATGTGACTCATTATGTGAAGATGCATCATATCTGCCTACACATGCAAATGAAACAATCCTTCAGTCTGATACACAAACCTCCGTCAGACAGAGAAGTGCCCGACGTCTGACTGAGGTATGGCTCTTTAAAAACTTCACCAGTTTATCCTCCGTCTGTTTGGTTAAAACTTGAGTCTCTCTTCTCTGATGATCAGGATCAGAAACCTTCTTTCTGCTGTATTTTGACTCGTTCTCTGGGCTCATTTCTTCTTTGACTCTTTCGGCGGCAGGTGTCACGTCCTGCCTCCTGAAAACACGACACTCTATATGTACACTGGTTTTGACTATTTACAGTGCGTGTGGAGAAACGCCTTCATCTAAACTATTAGACAAGCATCAGCTCTCCGGTCGTAAACAAGCGCTATGGTATTGATATTGTAAACAATCCACTCCTTCTGTCACACAGCGCTCCACCTCCTCTGGGAAGAGACGTGGAGCTGGACGAGCAAAGGTGGTGATACAGACGAGAGGAGGACGGAGAACTTCTGTCTGCCCACACCCACAGTCCTGCTCTCCTCCATCACAGGTCTGATGTGATCCAAACTAAACCCAGCTGACGTTAAGATGAACCACAGAAAGAATCAGCTCTCCAGAGGCCGACCTTCTCTTCACACTGAACCTTCACACTCTGCTGCAGCAGCTTCACTAACACTTCCTCTCGCCCTCCATCATGCCTGTCACTGTGCGTGTCTGCATGATCTGCTAGCATGTGTGTACATATAAAGTGTGTGTGTGCACATGAAGTATTTGGGTGTCCACCTCCAGGCTGCAGCGAGCCCTGTTAAACTGATAGACTCTACACGTGTTTGAAGTGTGTGTTAATGTGTGTGTGTGTGTGTTGTTGTGCAATATTCTCCCACAACTTCTATCATCTCCTTTTTAAAAGCTGCCGATGTGGCAGTAAGCCTCCAGGCTGGAGAAGAGGATGTAGAGGAACCACAGGCCGAGGAACAGCAGCGTGGTCAGGAGGCGGGGGACCTTCGGGCCACCGAGCTCTCCGCCGATGGAGGGCCGGCGTCTGAACAGGAGCACGGCCATGCTGATGAAAGCGAAGATGGTGAAGAGGGTGACGGAGAAAGCCAGCGACCCCGGCTCCACCCTGAACTCCTTCCCTTGGACTTTCCAATAGATGGCAGCCACTGACCAGGCCACGCCGATCCCTAGGAACACGTTAACGGCGTTGCTACCGGTGACATTTCCAACGGATGCGTCGGCGTGTTGGTCGTGCATGGCGGCCACTTTGCTAGCAAAGGTGTCTGGGATGAGAGAAAGACGTGGAAATCACTCAACACACACACGTGCAGATGACATTTGCATATTCTGAATTCCTACATTTATGTCCCTCCTGAAACAGTTTGATGAGGTGAGTTAAAGTTACCTGGTTTAAATCACGTGGTCTGCACAGCTACTAAAATCACTTCCTGTGCAGATGTGCACTCACCTGGAATAGAAGTCCCCAATGCCACAAACACCACGGCGGTCACAGTGTCCCGCAGCCCCACGGTGCAGCCGAAGTGCGACGCCAAATCTCCGATGACGGCGGTGAGGAGGCCGATGGAACTGATGGAGACCAAGAAACAGGCCCAGCCGTTCCAGTACTCTGTGGGCGGGACGCAGGCAAACAGCACCTTCCAGAAGACGGTGAGGAAATGCATGACGTAGTCGCAACATGACGGAAGACGCTCCTCATCTTCATCACCATCACCTGAGGGGGAAGAAACAGAAGTTCAAGTTGTTTCAAGCAGTGCAATAGTTAAATTAAAATAAAGGTAGAAAGAGCTTAGTATAAAAAAAGTCAAATACAATATAAAACTAAAAGTATATACATTCAAAGGTTGAAATGAAGTGACAAGTGTGTGTGAATCGTTATGTGTATGTTATAATTAAGTACAAACAGCATCTGAGGTCACAGAATATTCAGATCAAATATTCAGACTTTAAATTCCTGCACATTTGACACAAGTAAATAATCCCTGTCTGCAGTGAACTGTCACTTCCACTAGGTGGCGTCCTCGATTTACGAAACACCTCAGGATGAGTTTCAGTGTTTGTTCAGTTTTTCATGTCCCTTCATATTCTGCTGAAATTAAAACCCAAAGTTCTTTATTCAAGCAACAGTTGAATCAGGAGACTGTGACGGACCCACTGAGCAACGCACGGAATTCCAAAACTGCTCATCTGGCCGTTTACCAAGAACCGTGGTGAGGTCTGTGGTGTATTTGCTGGAGGGACATCCTCCTCCTCCTCCACGTCTCAGGAGCAGCAGCACAATCTGACATTTATCTGAACTAACCCCATGTTTTATTTCACCCCCTTAAAACTAATACTGAGTCTTTTAATTGGAAGAGGCGGATTTTCTGTCTCAACTTCCACAAGATCAAAAACACTGGGTTCGATACTCGTCTAGACATCAGGTGGGCGGATAACAACCTCTGTATAAATCAGCAGAACCGATACATGACAACAACAACAATACACAAAGTTAATCACATGTCAAGCAGTGATAAGAGTTTAATAAATTCCTGTGGAGCTGCATTTAAATTGAAAAGAACAATCAGAGGCAGGCAGAGGAATGAACATCACCTGCTTCTGTGAAAATGTATTAAAACTCAACTGTTGGTGAATCTAAAGGTCCGACTCCAACATGTCAGCCTGATTTATATTAATCTGATTAATGAATTGATTCACTCTGAAAGATTCAGATGCTTGAATTCGTCTTGATGATGATCCATGAAGCCGTGTACATGAAGTATGGAACATGTATTTGTACACACTGACCTGCGCTGACAGTCACCGCCTCCACAAACTGTTCCCTCCACGAGTGTGTGCCGATCACCAGCGCCAGGTTGGTCTTCTTGATGAGCTTGTCAACTGTGCTCTGGAGATCAGAAGCAAAACACACGTCATTAATAAGCAGCCGAACAGATCTACATGAAACCTGGTGGAAGAACGGACAGAGAAAGAAGCAACACAATTTAAACACTTTCTTTAACGTGTTGAAACAACGTTAAACAAGAATCATTCATGGATCTTAATGAAAGAAAAGTGTGTGAACTTTGGTGCAGCTTGATGTCGGGCCTTGGTGGAGGAATGAGCTTCACAATCATTTAATTAATTTCCTGGTGCCCACAGCAAACACAGCCTCACACATTGATCTCAATCTAAATGCCAATCATGCTGAATTGCATTATTCTCCCAAATTGATTCTCACTAAACACAAATCATAAGAGACGAGACCAATTACATTTCAACACAGGGTTGGGTTCACTTAATAATCACCCGGAGGATGAGGAGACTCAATTCTGGTGTTTGCAGTTATGAGAAGAGCAACGGCTCTGCTTAGTGCTCGTTCTTTATTCTCTCGGCCGCTCGGTGATTTACTCTGGAACGCTGCTGCTTTCTTATTGGCTGAAAGTGAAGTGGATGTTTGATTTGTCTGCTTCCTCTGTCAAGATGAACTTTTATATTTCTGAATGGTTAGCGTCAGGAGGGCTCAGAACCAAACGCTGCTCACACCTTTACTTTAATTAACGTTTACACACAGACCCGGAGGTGTGAAACACTTTGCTCAGCACTTCACAAACACACACTAAAGGGAGCTGGAACATTTGTTCAATGAAATCTCTATTGTTTCAATTTCCTTATGAGTAATTTAAAAATATGAATTTGTTATTTTCTGTGTTGGATCTTTTGTGAATGGAGACTTTTGCTCTGACAGTGAGTTTATCTGGTTTCACTGCTGGCAGGGTCAGTGGGGACTGGCTTTGAGGTTGTGCCTGCTTGAACTTAAAATACACTTCAGCCCACACTTTAAATATCTGGGTTCTGCTCCTGGTCCATTTCCTCACTGTCAGCTGCAGCAGCGCTCTGTGCATGTCAGAGAGTCACAATCCTGCACGCCTGGAGCGAGCGGCTGCATCGAGGGCAACTCGTACACTTTCAATAATTCAGAGCCACATTAGGTTTGCTTGCTGAAAGGGCTCAGCCGTGTGACAGAGAGTGTAAAGGTGGTTCACAGTGAAGCAGAGTTCAATTCTTTTTATTCAACCCAAACACAGAAATGACTCCAGGAGAGAAATAATCTGATATTACGCTGATAGGTCAGGAAATAAATACAGTAAATATACAAAATGTTATTTTGGCTATAAATATTGAATATATTTCTTACTTGCTGCTTATACATGTGATATTTATCTATAACTCTCTATGTTGAAGACTTACACAATGAAAAAACAGAAACCACTGCTGAACATGAGTCGCTGCTCTCCGAGAGGAGATCAGGCCAGATATGAATGAATGAATGAATGAATGAATGTTGCACCTTGAACTCGTACGACTCCTCGATGACCACCTCCAAGCGACTGTGCTCTCCCAGGATGGGCTTCCCCATCTCAGCTATCCTGCGAGCCTCCTCCTCCTCAGAACTCATCTGCCCCTCCACACCCTCTGTGGGAAGAAAGAAGGGAGGGAGGGAAAGAGGGAGAGCGGATGTGATGTGAAGAAGTGAGTATGTTTCATGCATTCTGCATCATTTCATGTTGGATTTGGATTTGGAGCCAGAGTCTGTGCGGTAGCGACCGGGGGATGGAGCTGCAGTATCGAGCTCCTGCTGAAGCTCGTCAGTGACGATATTAATCATCAAATAACCATGAAACCAAACTGATCAGAAACATGAACACTTACACACTCGTCACAGTGAAATAAGAATTAAAATAAAATCATGAAAAACATCTTTGACTTTTTAGCTGGGTCCCTGTCCCATCTGCTAACATGGAGGAGACAGAAAGCTGCAACCGTGCCCCATTAAAACATCCAAACAGGTTTTTACTGTATGCAGCAGGATTCAGTATAAACTCTATAGATCACACTCTCAACGTGCACGTTCACGTTCTGTGTGCACCATGCTGGAGTGCAGGGTAATAAATCCTGCTGATTAGAAAATGCAAAGCAGAGAATCTTGATTGTTTTCGGTTGATCAATGACTTTGTGATGAATGATTTTCCCACAGTGCCTCGAGCAATCAAATGGAAAACCACGTTCCAGCTTCTTCTAACATCTGTAAAGAGCTCAGGTGTAATCAGCTGCTGTGGATGACGTGAAGACACGTGTGACTCCGACAGACTCTTCACAAAGGAAGCCTCGATAATATTGATCCACTTTCTTCTTCGTCTGCTTTCATACAGTATGAGAGAGAGAGAGAGAGAGAGAGGGAGGTACCGTACAGTTAGACGAGGTGAATGCTGACATGTGGCCCAGTTTGTGTTATTGATCCACTGCCAACAGAACAGCAGCAGCTACACCAACCGGAGTTGATCTTACAGAAATGACTGAGGAACTGAGCCAATCAGGGATTATGTT